GTTTAGGAGGAAGATTGATGAACTCTATGTGTATGATAAGAACAACATACACAAGGAGGTCAAGCTACTAGTGACGGTCATCAAATCCGGCATAGCTGTGGCAGATTTAGAACTGCAAGAATGGAGAAGAAGAGCCGAAGCGGCCGAAAAGGCTCTGCTTGAGGGCAGGAGAATGCAATGCTGGCTGAAGCGCAGGAGACGCCGAAGGGACCAACGAATCCACGTCCGGAGAAAAGAGATAGGGAGCACCAGGAGACGAAAAGGACCCCAAAAAACACAAGGACGACGAATACGGGGACAATGAGCAAGAAGATGGAGAAGACAGTGATTGGCGTAAAGTCGAAAACCAGAAGGAAAAGAGGAAAAAAACTGAAGGAAGAGGAACAAAGGAAGAAGGAACAGAAGAAGAAGGAGGAGAAGGAACAGAAGAAGAAGGAGGGGAAGGAAAAGAAGAATGAAAAGGAAGAGAAGAAGAAGAAGACGGAAGAGAGGAAAAAGGAAGAAGGAAAACCCCAGGCATCGTAGGGAAAGAAGTAAGGGCAACGCTCTGGTTATCGAGGCAAAAGACAAAACGACATACGCAACACTCCTCCGGAAAGTGAGAGAGGATCCGGAATTGAAGCAACTAGGCGAAAACGTAAAGAAAACCAGGCGCACCCAGAAAGGCGAGATGCTCTTCGAGCTGAAGAAGGACCCGTCGGTGAGGAGTTCAGCCTTCAAGGAACTCGTCGAAAAATCTCTTGGCGTGGACGCGTACCTAAGAGTCTTATCGCAGGAGTCAGTGGTCGAGTGCAAGGATCCGGATGAGATCACAACGGAAGACGAGGTACGATGTGCGCTGAAGGTGCAATGCAATCTGGGAGAGGTGCCTATGACAATCCGGTTGAGGAAGGCGTACGGTGGTACACAAACGTCGTCGTCACGACTTGCGACGGACGCAGCTAACGAGTTGCTGAAGACAGGACGAGTCAAGGTTGGGTGGTCAGTATGCCCCCTGAAAGCTATCCCTCGGGTTACCAAGCAAATGGAGAGATGGTTTAAGTTTGGTCACCAGGCATGAACTTTGGTCACCAGGCGAGAAACTGCAAAGGCCCTGATAGATCGGAGCTGTGCAGGAAATGCGGAGAGAAGGGGCACGTTGCTAAACACGGTATGAAGCAACCGAGGTGCATACTCTGCAGAAAGGAGGACGGAAACGGTCATATGACGGGAAGTTTCAGGTGCCCAGCTTACAAAAAGACGATAGCGGGCCAACGGTAATGGAGATAACCCAAAAAAATCTCAATCATGGTTACACAGCACAGCAACTGTTGTGGCAGTCGACAACGGAAACAAAGTGTGACGTTGCAATGATTGCGGAGCCATATCGAGTCCCTCCCGTTAACGATAACTGGGTGGCCGATAGAGCAGGGATGGCGGCAATACAAGTTATGGGCAGGTATCCCATACAAGAAGTGGTGACGAGGTCTTACGAAGGTTTTGTGATCGCCAAAATTAATGGAACCTTCGTATGTAGTTGCTATGCACCTCCGAGATGCACAATGGAGCAGTTCCACCAGATGCTAGATAGACTCACCGGGGAGCTCACCGGACGGAGACCAATCGTCATTGGAGGAGATTTCAATGCTTGGGCAGTGGACTGGGGAAGCAGATGTACCAACGCAAGAGGGTATAGCCTGCTGGAAGCTCTGGCAAAGTTGGACGTCAGTCTGGCCAACGAAGGAACAGCTACTTCCGCAAAGATGGAAGGGAATCCATTATCGACGTCACTTTCTGCAGTCCGTCGTTAGTGGCAAGTATGAACTGGAGAGTGTGTGAGGAGTACACTCATAGTGACATCAGGCGATTAGGTACAGCTTTGGCCAACCGATACCTACGGCAATGTGGAAAACGCAAGTAAGTAAGTGGAGGTGGAAGACGAAGGCATTCGACAAGGATCTCTGGTGGAACGAGGCACTTGGCACCCTCCGAGCTAGTTGTCTCCGAACCAGAAGGCGCGTTCAGCGGGCAAGAACTTATGCAGACAGAGCAGAGCGAAGGGTGGTGTTTCGAGCAGCCAAGGCCGCTCTAAAACGGGAGATAAAGCTGAGCAAGTCAAACTGCTTCAAGGAGCTGTGCCGAGACGCTGATGCCAACCCCTGGGGTGACGCATACCGAGTCGCGATGACGAAGATTAGAGGTCCAACGACGCCCGTTGAAATGTGCCCAGAAAAGCTGAAAGTCATCGTAGAGGGACTTTTCCCGAAGCACGACTAAATGACCTGGCCACCTACATCGTACGGCGAGGCAGAGGCAGACAACACCGAAGGTAGACAAGTCTCCAACGAGGAACTTGTAGCAGTGGCGAAAGGGCTGAAGACGAAGTATGCTCCCGGTCCGGACGGAATCCCCAACGTGGCGTTGAAGGCGGCGATCCAGGTGTTCCCGGACATGTTCAGGATAGTACTGCAGAAGTGTCTGGATGAAGGTCACTTCCCGGACCGATGGAAGATACAGAAGCTAGTGCTGCTGCCGAAACCCGGAAAATTGCCGGGGGATCCAGCATCGTATAGGCCTATATGCTTGCTGGATACAGTCGGAAAGCTATTGGAGAAGATCATCCTCAACAGGCTAACAAAATGCACCGAGAGTGAGCATGGATTGTCGGTGAGGCAGTTCGGATTCCGGAAAGGGAGATCAACGGTGGATGCAATTCGAACAGTGGTCGAGAGTGCCGAGGAAGCGTCTAAACAGAAGCGGAGAGGAGATCGATATTCAACAGCGCCAGCTGGGAGGCCATCGCCGAAGCACTTCATGGAATGAGGTTTCTTGATTATCTGTGTGGCATTATAAGGAGTTACTCCCAGAACCGGGTTCTAGTCTACGAGACGGACATGGGAGAGAAATCAATCCGGATCACGGCGGGTGTGCCACAAGGCTCCATCCTTGGCCCAACGCTCTGGAACGCGATGTACAACGGCGTGCTAACGCTGAAGCTGCCCAAAGGAGTCGAGATCGTAGGATTTGCGGACGACGTCGTGTTGGCGGTAGCAGCCATGGTAAAAACACTGAACTCGTTTGCACGGGTGGCAGTTTTGTCTACAAACACACCACCAAGAGCATTGGGTTTTACGCGTCGTACCAGTGCTCGATGGAAAATGGTGCCCGTGTATAATTGTTTGCACCGGTGTATGGATCTTCGGCAAGCACCAAAGCCGAGTGTTTCTGACTTCGGGAAACACCGCAGCCGAGTGTTTTCGATTTCCGAAAACACGCTTGCTGCTCGCAGGAACTTTCTTTGGGGCGACTTCTGAAAGATTATCGTAGCTCTTATACACCTTTAGCATCTTCAATTCCTACTAAAGCTGATAGATAAGTGGTCAAAGCAATTCTTCCATAATGCCAATGTCCATGGTTCGATTCCAGTCTGTCACCTTTCAATTTTTTCTGTCAATATTTTTCATAAGGTGAATCTATGAAATTCATTTCGATTTCTTTTGGCGAAAAAGCATTACGCAATCTTATAAAGCTTTAGAGCAGCTCATCTTCCAGGATTTTTTTAAATACACAAATCATCCACTTCGGAAGAGCGTGTTGCTGTTGCCGTCCACCCACTGGTATTTCTTGGCTTTATATTAAATAATTTAGCTGATTGATTTAATGTGGTTAGAGTCAATCTAATAATCATAACTTGTCTCCAACAAAAACAAACAGCTCAACTGATTGAATAATAGAAGAAGGGAGGGGGGAGGGGGGGGGGGATTTACATAATATGTAATATATTATATGCTGGTTCACTATTAGATAATAAATAATATATTGTATGCTGGTTCACTAGCTCAACCAACTCAACTAACTAGCACGTATTTCAGAGGCTCCTAAAATTTCATGCTGGTAGATGCTGACGTCCTGTTTACATTATGCTGACCATTTATAAGTACAGCTTTAGTTCACTAGCATCAGCACACCAGCACAGATGTAAACACCCAAATAGCGGTGGGTGAACAGAACTACTCACCATTCATGTAGGGTAGAACAGCCCGAATTGCACCCCGGGCCAAACGCGCGATTTGATTTTCCATAGCTATTCCACTCTTAATTTTGCCGAAATGCTAGTTCAAGAACTAAACTAGCACTGTGACTTGTCAAATTTATGAATTAAAAGCGAAAATGCTATGAAAAATCGCATCGAGCGATTTGCGCGAGGTGCATTTTGGGCTGTTTTCCCCTAAATAAAAACAACGCGCTCAAGAAGGATCGCATTCTACCTTCTACTAGCTCCGTATCAGCCATGGTAGCTGTTATGTTGTTGTTGGATATAAGTTATCATTATTAGATATACTCAAATCGTGTGAAAACAATCAGCTCAATTTGTTAACATAAAGCCAAGAAATACTAGTGGGTGGACGGCAACAGAAACACGCTCTTTCGAAGTAGGTGATTTGCGTATTTTCAATAATCCTGGTAGATGATCCTTTGAGCTCATAAGATTAATAAGATTGCGTAATGCTTTTTTTAGCTAAAAGAAATCTAAATGAATTTCATAGATTTACCTTATGAAAATAATGTTGACAAAAAAGTTAAAAAAAAGGCGGCAGACTAGAATCGAACCATGGACATTGGCATTATGAGACTATTGCTTTGACCACTCGTCTATTAGCTCTAGTCGCGTTGAAGAATTATCTTGTGTAACAAAATAATCTTTCATAAGTCGCCCCAAAGAAAGTTCCTGCGAGCAGCAAGCGTGTTTTTGGAAATCGAAAACACTCGGCTGCGGTGTTTCCCGAAGTCAGAAACACTCGGCTTTGGTGCTTGCCGAAGATCCATACACCGGTGCAAACAATTATACACGGGCACCGGTACCGGTGCCTTGATCGCTGCGTTTGGTGTTTTCTATCGAGCACTGGTACGGAGCGTACATCTCAATGCTCTTCGTGGTGTGTAAAAGAGGCAGTACGCAGTGTAGTGTTGCGTTTAGACATGCCTGGGCGGTAGTAGGCGAGACGTTGGAAGAGGTGGAAATGCTGGCAACCGAGGCGATCGACACGGTTTCCAACTGGATGCAAGGAGCGAAGCTGCAGATAGCCCACCACAAAACGGAAGTGCTATTGGTCAGTAGCTGTAAAGCTGTTCAGCGGGCAGAAATTACCGTCGGGGAGAACGCCATAGTATCAAAGCGCGTGCTGAAGTATCTTGGAGTGATACTCGATGACCGAGTAAGCTTCAATAGCCACGTCGACTACGCATGTGAGAAGGCGGCGAAGGCCATCAATGCGATAGCTAGAATCATGCCGAACAACTCTGGACAAAGCAGTAGCAAGAGGCGCTTTCTGGCTAGTGTATCGTCGTCGATACTGAGGTATGGAGGTCCAGCCTGGGATGCAGCGCTGAAAACGAAGAAGAACCAAAGAAAATTGAACAGTCTGATCCGCCTCATGGCCATGCGAGTCGTGAGTGCGTACAGAACAATTTCGACGGAAGCAGTATGCGTTATCGTCGGTATGATACCCATCGTCATCACCTTGGCGGAGGACACCGAATGCTATATGCGAAGAGATACCAGAGGAGTACGGACATTGGTGAGAACGGAGTCGATGGCTAAGTGTCAACAGGAGTGGGACGCAGCGGAGAACGGTAGATGGACACACAAGCTAATACCGATTCTTTCGACCTGGGTGAACAGGAAGCATTTAGAAGTCAACTTCCATTTTGTTTATTTGTTTATTTGTTTATTTGTATTCCTCCATCTGACAAGGTTGTCTTAATGAAGTTGGACAGGGAAAAGCCAAATTGAGTCATGGTGAACTCAAATTGGCATAAAAACCCTGTTTCTTTTCTTAAATTAAGTACATAGAAACAGAAACTAAACATTAACAATTACACAGTTCACAGCAAAAACAATGCAAAATACAATAATTACTACAGTGTAAATTAAAAACGTTAAAATGCGGTCAGTGTCATAAAAGTGTGTCAGCAACAGTGCAGCATCGTCATTGATTGTCAAGTCCTCGTGGAAGGGTCGAAAGCAACCGGAAACAAAAATGAAAACAGGTAGCACAATTCATACAGTCATCAGGGGATGGACAGTCACTCACCTGCTCATAATCAATCCATGCACATAACAGCTTTACAATCGATTACTTAGGCGGCGTTGAAAAGTAGCTGCGGAAGCTTCAAAGTCGAAAAGCTCAGATACATCATTGAAGCGAGAGGCCATGAACCGTATTGGGTCGTGTTGCCCGTATCGACTGTTGCGGGATGCCAAATGCAGGAAGTTACGCCGACGAAGGGGGCGTTCAGGTACATAAACGTTGATATCGGCAAGAATGGCAGGTGCATCCACCTCACTAGTTAATACTTTGGCGACAAAAACCGCTTGCATGTCAGACCTTCGTTTCTCCAGTGTTTCAATTCCTAACAGCATGCATCGATGTTCGTAGGGAGGTAGATTTAGATGTTCACGCGAAGGTAGATAACGAAGAGCTAGGCGCACAAATTTTCTTTGAACCGATTCTATACGGTCAACCCATATACTGCTGTACGGACACCAAACTATTACAGCAGATTCAAGGATCGAGCGAACCAAGGCGCAGTACAGTGATTTCAGACACAGAGGGTCACGGAATCCATCGGCAAGTTTAAAGATAAATCCAAGCTGCCTATTCGCTTTTGAAATCACATCAGCATAATGTGTCCGGAGGTTAAGTTCAGAGTCCAATAACACACCAAGGTCTCTAACCTGATTCAGCCGTTCTAGATCATGACCAGCAAGACGATAGTGGAAGATGATCGGATGACGTTTTCTGGAAAACGAAATAGTGTTGCATTTCGTTACACACAGTTCCAGTAAGTTCCGTTTGCTCCAATCCTCAAATGACTCCAACAAACTCTGCAGGTAGGCACAGTCCTCGATGCATGTGATTACCATGTAAATCTTAACATCATCGGCGTAGAAAACACGATTTCCAGATGGTAAAACAAACGATGCATCATTAATGAAAAGCGAAAACAATAGGGGGCCTAGGTTGCTCCCTTGTGGAATTCCGGATACAATCGGGAAGGCGGTTGAATGTGAGGAGCCTAATTTAACTTTCATAGACCGTCCTGACAGGTATGATTCGAACCAACGAACAAAGGCGACGGATACTCCAAATTTCTCGAGTTTTCGAAGCAGAATAGCATGGTTCACTCGGTCGAATGCAGCTTTGAAATCAGTGTATATAGCATCTACTTGCATGCCAGCGTCCATCGATCGAATGCACAATGAAGTGAATTGAGTGAGGTTCGTTGTCACAGATCTTTTTGGAAAAAATCCATGCTGGGCACTAGAGATGTAATTCTTGCTAGCTACGAACAAGGCATCGTTCACGATTATCTCAAAGAGTTTGGAGCAAGCATTCAACGACGTTATCCCGCGGTAATTGGAAATATCACACTTGTCCCCCTTTTTGTGAATAGGAATCATGACCGAAGTCTTCCACGCGGATGGGAATGTCATTCGCTGTAATGAAATATTAAACAATTTCACTAGCGGCATCAATAAGACACTTGAGCAATTCTTAAGAATGCATGCAGGAATACCATCCGAACCGTATGACGCAGAATGTTTAAGTTTACGTATCGCTTTTTGTACGTGCTCCTCAGTGATTTGGAAAATTCCAAAGTCGAGCCTATCTGATGGTGTGTCATGGATGGCTGCATTTAGATGCGAGGACGAAATCGACATGTCCGAGAAGGCACTCTTGAAGTGATCAGCAAACAGCTCACACTTGTGGGCATCTGTGCTAGCAGAGCGGGCACCGAGATACATAGACGAAGGTAACCCATTTTCCTTACGCTTCGACCGAACAAATGACCAGAAACGTTTGGGATGCAGGCGTAGATTTCTCTGCGTACGGTCTATATAACGAGCATACATTTCGCGGTTAAAGCTAGTGTATTTATTGCTGGCCAGAACAAAACGACGTTTCAGGTGTTGTGATCGATTACGTTTGAATTTCCGAAGAGCAGTACGTCGACGGCGCTTCAATCTACGAAGCCGATTGTTTGTCCATGGAGGTTTCAGAGTAGGACGCTGAAGTGGCACGTGAGCTTCGATAACACGACGTATCTCAGAGTTGAACGACTCAACGATGTCATCCAGATCTCGTTCGTCATCCAAAAATTGCCAATCAATCACAGAAAATGCTTCACTCATCAAGTCATAGTTGACACGGCGGAAATCAAATTGCGGGTTCTCGTGTGGCTGATCAAATCTCACTGGTGACGGCAAAGAAACGGCAACCTCAATAGCGGGATGTGCAGTGTCGAGTTCTACAAGAGATTCAACCGCTTCAGAAATGCTGCAGTTAGGTAGTGCTGTATCGTTCACCAGTACTAAGTCAAGAGTACGAGAACTGGCATTTTTCACAGAGTTGATTTGCGTCAGACCATTGAAACAAAAGGCATCATATAGAGCACCATCCGAAGTTGAAAAACGGGATATACTGGAATCTATATGAAGTCCGCCATCCACTGAAGCAGTCCAATGCATGTTGGGGTGATTGTAGTCACCGAACTGAAGCGCAAAATCATGAGGTTTCAAGCATGATATTACTGAACTAACAGAATCGCTATGAAGCTGAATGAGGGACAGATCATCTCTCTTGACGCAGTTCCTGTCTGGTCATGGCTGCTTCAGGAAGTACCTGCATCGCTTTGGACACACAACATCACCCCTCTGTCCGGAGTGTGGCAGCGTGGACGAAACGCTGGAGCACGTGGTTTTCGACTGCCCAAGATTTGAGGCAGTGCGAGTGGAGATGCCGGCCCTTAGCACGAGAAATGTCAGTGAAATGTGCCGGGATGAGAGGACGTGGAGTGGCGTCAGCAGGGCAGTGACGCAAATTTTGTCGGAGCTGCAGCGAAAATGGAGAGATGATCAGCGAGTTAGCTACGCTGGCTAGCTGAGCTAAAGAGATGTTCTTGAGCACTGCCCCCCCCCGACGAAATACTCTAGGGGAGTTCCGAGAGGATAGTGGCTAGAGGCGGGTAAGGTTTTAGTGGTTAAGAGTCCCACACTGTGCCAGAAGGAGAACAAACACGCAACACAATGACAGGCCGGGCTTTTGAAGATTTCCTTACTATAAAAAAAAACACACACACACACACACACACACACACACACACACACACACACACACACACACACACAAAGGAGTTGAGATCGTTGGCTTTGCGGACGACGTCGTCTTGACGGTAACAGGCAGGACGCTGGAAGAGGTGGAAGTGTTGTCAACCGAGGTGATCGACATGATTGGTAACTGGATGCAAGGAGCGAAGCTGCAGATAGCCCACCACAAAACGGAAGTGTTATTGGTCAGTAACTGTAAAGCGGTACAGCGGGCAGAAATCACCGTCGGGGAATACACCATAGCCTCGAAGCGTGTGTTAAAATACCTGGGAGTGATGATCGATGACCGGCTAAACTTCAACAGCCACGTCGAATATGCCTGTGAGAAGGCTTCGAAGGCCATCAACGGGATAGCTAAAATCATACCGAACAACGCTGGTCCCAGCAGTAGTAAGAGGCGTCTTCTGGCCAGCGTGTCATCATCGATACTGAGATATGGAGGTCCAGCCTGGGTTCCAGCGCTGGAAACGAAGCAGAACCAAAGGAAACTGAGCAGTACGTTTCGGCTCATGGCCATGCGAGTCGTGAGTGCGTACAGAACCATCTCGTCGGAAGCAGTATGCGTTATCGCCGGTATGATCCCTATCGGCATCACCCTGGCGGAGGACAGCGAGTGCTACAGGCGGAGAGAAGCCGGAAGAGTATGGAAAGTTGTGAGAGTGGAGTCGATGGCTAAGTGGCAACAGGAGTGGAACACGATGGAGAACGGTAGATGAACACATAGACTAATACCGATTATTTCGACCTGGGTGAACAGAAAACACGGAGAAGTCAATTTCCACCTAACGCAGTTCCTGTTTGGCCACGGTTGCTTCAGGAAATACCTGCATCGGTTCGGACACGCAGCGTCACCCTTCTGTCCGGAGTGTGGCAACGTCTATGAAACACCGGAGTATATGGTCTTCGACTGTCCAAGGTTCGAAGCAGTACGAACGGAGATGTCCGTCCTTAACGTGGAGAATGTCGTCGTTGAAATGTGTCGAGAGGAGGACACTTGGAATGCCATCAGCAGGGCAGTCACGCAGATTATGTCGGAGCTGCAGTGTAAATGGAGAGAAGAGCAGCGATCAAGCAA